AAAAAAAAAAAAAAAAGTCATTGAAAATAGATGAAAGAAGACCAAACTGGATATCAGAAGAAACTCTGAAACTTGATCTTGAATGTAGAGAAGTTAAAGTGACTGGAAATATGGTTAAGTAAAGTAGCTGAACAAAAATCTTCAAAGGACAGTTGTGAAAGACAAAGTAAAGGAGAAGAACACACTCAGCATTTCTTAAGTTGAAAGAACTGAAGTAAGTGTTCAAGCCTCAAGTTGCAATATTGATGGATTCCATGGACAAAATAATCTATATGCTGAGCAAATAATAATCCAAGAAGCTGGATTATATGAAGAAGCGCCATGGCATCTAGATTGGAGGAAGACTCATCAATAAGCTGTCATATCCAGATGACATAACCTGGCTTACTGGAACCTAAGAGGACTTGAAATACATAACTGATAAACATCAAAGACTGCAGCCTTCTGTAGGGATTGCACTTCATTGTAAAGAAAACAAAAGTCCTCACAACTGGACCAATAAATATCTGCGTAATAAGTAAAACATTGAAGTTGTCAAAGATTGCATTTTACTTGGATCCACAATCAATGCTTATGCAAGCAGCAGTCAAGAAATCAAAAGATGTATTTATCGCATTAGGCAGATGTGCTGGTCAAGATCTTTTAAAAGTATTTTAAAGCAAAGATGTTAGTTTGAATACTGAGATGTACCTGGACCCAATCCATGGTATTTTTGGTCACGGCATGTGCATGTGAAAGTTGGACAGTGAATAAAGAAGACAGTAGAAGAATCCCTGCATTTGAATTATGGGTTGGAGAAGAATATTGAAAGTACTGTGGACTGCCAGAAGAGCAAACAAATCTGTCTTGGAAAAAGTACTGTCAGAATGCTCCTTAGAAGGAAGCATGGTGAGATTTGTCTCATTCTTTGGACATGTTAGAAGGGACTAGTCTCTGGAGGTGGACATCCTGCTTAGTAACATAGTGGAGAGTCCGCGAAAGGTAAGAAGACCCCCGATGAGATGGATTGACATCTTGCCAGCAACAGTGGACTCAGATATATCAACAATTGTGAGAGTGGCACAGGATTAGGTAGTGTTTTGTTCTGTTGTGCATAGGACCAAAATGCGTCGGAACCAACTTGTCAGTAACTAACAACAGCAACAACTCTTCTCAGTGTTACAGGATTACTCAGTCACCCACTCAGTAATGATAATAGGCTAAATTATAAGTTATTACGGCCTAATTCATAAGACAAAACCCTTTTAATCTGATATTAAAAGGTCACCTGTTCATACTCACCAGCTGCTCCTTGGAAACTCTATACAGAATTGATGTGAGTCAGAACCTACTCGATGGCACTTAACAACAACAATTTTTATTTTTTTTTAAGCAAGCTAGTCCTTTGAGACAGGAATATGTTATGTTTTTTAAATAACTGCTTTTCTTTCCTTTAGGCATTTGCTTCATCATTGTTTCCAGGCTTTGATGGATCATGGTGTGAAAGTTGCTTCGGTCTTGGCCTACTCATTCAGTAGGCGGTGCTCTTATATAGCAGAATCAGATGCTGCTGTAAAAGAAAAGGCCATTCAGGTTGGCTTTGTTTTAGGTAAGTAATACAAAGAGAGGAATGCTTTGTCCTTTGTCATAACTCAGAATAAACCTACTGATAAGAAACAGTTCTCTTAAGACATTCCTAAAGACTGTACAAGTAGGTTATGAGAAATACATAAGAAGAAATAGGTGTATTTCTTATTAAATATTAGTAAGTGTGATTTAGTGCTGTTGTGCTGTAGGATCATCACTGGACTGAACCACAAGGTCAGCAGTTTAAACCCACCAGCTACTCCTCGCAAACCCTATACGGTTGCTATGCGTTGAGACGGATTCAGTGGCACTTAACCAACATGTTTTGGGCAGTTGTCTGTTAAAGTCATTGCTACCTTTTTTTTTTAATTCTTTATTTTAAATGATTGCAGATTCACAGAAAGTTGAAAATGCATATTACATGAAGTCCTTTGAGCCATTCTTCAAGATTCCCCAATTGTGACATGTAACTATTGAAAAGAATCAAAACCAAGAAATTAACATGTTTGATAAGGTGGAGGGTCAGAGTAAAAGAGGAAAACCCCCATCGAGATGGATTGGCCAAGTGGCAGCATTGATGGACTCAGGTGTGGCAACAGTAGTGAGGTTGGCTCAGGATCAGGCAGTGTTTCGTCCTGATGTGCATAAAGTCACTGTGAGTCGATACCGACACAATGGCACCTAACAACAACAGTACTGTTAGACCAGACCCCAGTCCTTACAGATTTTTACCAGGTTTTAGATATACATGTGCATATGTTTCTATGCAATAAAGATTTTTATAGTCATACTTCTAAAAGGATACAGACTTGCTCCATCACCACGGACCAACTTTCATGTTAATGTGTTCAAGTACAGGTTTTTCTTTCCCTACGTGTGTGCTTACACACAAACACTACATTCTGTGCCAACAAGTTTTTGTGATCGTTTCCTTTAGTTTTAGAACAATTCTAGGTAGTGATCACAGATAGTTTGTCAGGAAGAACTTCAGAACATTATTTTCTTAGAAGAATTCTTAGCATGTATCTTTTGATAATTTCCATAGAATTTAAATTACAACAATTACCTTTACCAATAAGAGTGCGATCTTGATGGATCTCAATGAGGATGTACAAAAATCTATGGGAGA